TGTTTAATTTTTTTAAAGTAAAAATTATATATATTTAGGGTATACAACATGATGTGTTTTTTTGTTTTTGTTTTGTTTTTGTCAATCCTCACCTGGGAATATTTTTACCATTGATTTTTAGAGAGAGTGGGAAGGAGGGGGAGAGACAGAGAGAGAGAAACATCGATGTGAGAAAAGACATATTGGTTGCCTCCCACACGTGTCCCGACAGGGCCGGGGAACGAGCCTGCAGACAAGGTAGGTGCCCTTGACCAGGAATCGAACCGTGACCTCCTGGTTCATAGGTCGATGCTCAACCACTGAGCCACGCCACGCCAGCTGGGCTCTTTTAGAGATTTATGGATTCTTGGAAGGGAGAGAGATAGTTAGAAACATCAATGAGAAGGAAACATTGATTAGCTGCCTCCTGCACACACCCCACTGGGAATGCGCCTGCAACCAAGGTACATGCCCTTGACCAGATCAAACCTGGGACCTTTCAGTCCGCAGGCTGACGCTCTACCCACTGAGCAAAACCAGTTATGTCTACATAGAGCCTTTTGATGTTCATTACCTGATATTTGCTAAAGTTTGAACATCATTACTCATGTAAGTTGTAAAGTGTCATTCCAAAGTTAATATTGTGTTGGTCCCTAAAGGATTGAATTTTGGATAAGGACTCTGCCACACTGTAGATGAAAAAGCAGGTTCTATGAAAAATAACATCACAGGGTGATGTGATCATAAACTCGTGACTGGGCAATACAATTCTTTACTAAGAGGCTTATCTTTGCCTTAAATAAGCACTGTGCATTATTTCTGTACATCTAGGTTAACACAACTAGGTTACAACTTTGCACATAAACTTAAATACCCTCTAATGCAAGCTCCATGTGACCACTCCCAAAAGAGCACATAGTTTTAATTATCCTGTAATCCCATCCTGGTGTTACTCCCTCCACCTTCAAGTAAGTAATCTTCCTAACCTTCCCTCTGTAACTGAAATCCAAGGATCTGCTGCCTGCAGC